TGAATTTCATCCACACACAAGTTCATTCACCCACCTAGTTTCTACCCCTTTTCAAAGTACCTATGACTCACCATACCTAAATGACGATCCTTTACCACATGGATCCTTTACCAACCTTCTTACATTTGGAGTCCCACAACAACAAGAAGAGGAAGGAGTTCCCAAAGTTGGAGTTCCTGAAGAAGAAGTCAGTCCTTTTAGTGAAGGCGAAGACAATGCAAGACTCCAACAATACGATGAACAAGACGAACAAGATCTTGTACAGCAACCTCAACACGTAGGCACTTCTTCAACCACATTCAATTTCCCATCACACATGCATAATATTGATTTACAAATAGATTTTACTGACCTTGAGTATAGACATGCACTTGATCATGTTGATGTCGAGTACACTCATGACACCTTATTTCTGGGCATGAATTTCGACTCAAAGGAGGAAGTCCAACATATTTTAAACGCGCACCATATAAAGAAAGGTTTGTATTACAGGATGGAGAAATTGCCACCAACATTAATTGTTGCACGATGTGTTAATGATGGATGCGATTGGAGGTGTAGAGCGACTTTCATTAATAAAAGCCAAAAACGGGAGGTTCGTAAGCTATCAAACGAACATTCTTGTTCATCCCCTGTTATCTCACAAGATCATGTCAACCTTAGCTATGTATAAATTAGAAAAAGTATTCTTACATTGGTGGAGAGTGATCCATCAATTTCAATTCCAACAATAATAGCACACATCAAAAGTGCTGAAAGGTATACAATCTCATACTGCAAAGCATGGATGGCAAAACAAAAGGCAACTGAAGACTTACATGGAAATTGGGAACAATATTACCATGATTTACCCAAGTTGCTCAAATGCCATGACAATATTTCTTAATGAATTTGTTGTTGAGAAGCAAACAAGGCCACTATACAACCAACAAGGTGAGATGGTTCATGATTATGTTTGTTGGATCGAGCGCTTACCACTAGGCCAAAAGCTATAGCTGATAGTCAGGGCGCAACTCTTTCTACTTAAGAACGTAGCAGCCCAAGAGCCATGATTCGACATTGACTTGGCCCACCTAGCCTCCGCCACGGGACAGTTGATGCAACCCGCAACAATCTCCCCCTCAGCAATTGCCGCGCTGGGTGTCGAACTCATGACCTTGGCTTTGATACCAATTGTTGGATCGAGCGCTTACCACTAGGCCAAAAGCTATAGCTGATAGTCAGGGCGCAACTCTTTCTACTTAAGAGCGTAGCAGCCCAAACGCCATGATTCGACAGTGACTTGGCCCACCTAGCCTCCGCCACAGGACAATTGATGCAACCCGCAACAATTATGTTCAATTCCATAGAGTATTTTGGATATTTAAACCTTGTATCGATGGGTTCAAATATTGCAAGCCCATTGTTCAAGTTGATGGCACATTCTTGTATGGAAAATACAAAGGAACTCTACTTGTTGAGGGTGAAATAGTAGATGCATGGTTTTTCTTTTTACATTACCTAAAAAGACATGTTTGCCCTCAAGATGACCTTTGCTTAATTTCTAACAGGCATGAGTCCATAAAAAATGCCTACGCTAAACATTGCAGTGGTTGGATATCGGAGAATTTAGTGCACGTGTTTTATATTCGCCATATTACCCAAAACTTCATGAGGCATTTCAAGAATGAAGAAAGAAAAAATTAATCATCAACATGGGTATGCAATTATTTTTTATTTCAAACTTATCATTAATTATTTTTATTTGTTTGACCATATTTCAACAATACTAAATTGTTCATTTTTTTCTCATCTAATTTCACAGCTTATGGGATGACTGAACCAAGATTCAATTACTACTACAACACATTGAGGAGTGAACTAGAAACCGAAGGTGTAATTGAATGGCTCAACAATATATCAAAAGAACAATGAACTCTTGCATGGGACGGTGGCCGACGATGGGGACACATGACTACCAACTTGATAGAGGAAATAAATTCCATTCTTAGAAAAAATAAGAAATTTGCCTATTTCTACAATTATCATGTCAACTTATAAGAGATGTAATTCCTTATTGATCCAAAGGAGGAAGGAAGTCGATGCTAAACTCAGGGTTGACCAAGTTTATACTGAAATAATCAATATGGCCATGAGAGATGCAGAATTGAAGGCTAATAGTCATCATGTCCTCGAATTTGATCATCGTAGTACGTGTTTTCTAGTGCAAGAGACCATTAACCCAAGGGAAAGAAGACCAACTGGAAATTTCACATTTAGACTACATGACAAGTGGTGTGACTAGGGGAAATTCCAAAAGCTACACATGCCATGCTCTCATGTTGTTGCTACATGTAAGCATGTTCACCATAATTACAAATCTTACATAGATCAGGTATACACATTAAAGTATGTTTCAAATGTGTATAACGAATTATTTAATGAACTGCCCAACGAATCTTATTGGCCAAATTGTGAAGAATCATAAATCATACCAAATCCAAAAAATATTAGAAATAAAAAACGTTGTCTAAAGTCATCCCAAATTTGTACTGAAATGGATATGGTTGAACGGGGCAACTAAAAAGATGTTATCTATGTCAAAATGTAGGTCACTCCAAGAAAAAATGTCCTTAGCATCAACAATCTTAAATTTCAATTTATTTTGTTGTGTAATTTTCACAAATGTAATGTTATGTAATTTTAATTTATTTGAATTTTATTTTAATTATGTACATTTAACTAATATTATCTCAATTTTACTACTTGAAATATTTAAATTATAAATATATTAATTTATAAATTGAAAATTTTAATTATAACTAAAATAATTTTTAAAATATTTAGACAAAAAATATTAAAAAATATATATTTTATTAAAAAAAATTAAATACTCAAGTTAATTAAAAAATAATAAAATAATTATATTTAAAATTTCAATTATAATTTAAATATTTTTAAAAAAATTAAACAAAAAAATTAAAAAATCAATTTTTTTTATAAAAAAAAGTAACCTTGTTGAGAAATTGTTAAAAAACTGATTTTTCATGAGACTTAAAAAAATTGAAAAAATAATTACATTCACAAATCAACCAAATCGGTTGATGTAGAAACGATTTCTCACTACACACAGTACTTTGTTATATTTACGTAAATAATATAAAAGATAGATTATTAACATAAATATAAATTAAAAACAATATATTATAAAATAAAAAAAAGTGAGAATCTTCCTACATGTTTAATTTCTCTTTTTCCTATTGTTAAAAAAAAAAAAAAACATTTTCAATGCGTTAGTGTGTATATGTTAGGCACAACCCAATTGTCCCAAGAATAAAATGGAAGAAGCCCAATAGTACATTACCCAGTCCATTGGTGGGCCGAAGCCAAGGCCCAGCGTCTGTAAACTACATTACTGTGCCTGTCCGAAGAAATTCAAAAATCCCAGTCCAAGACATTTCTCTAGTTCTTACTCATATATATATATATATATATATATATATATATATATATATTATCATTTTATAAATTTTAATTTGTTTTAAAATATTTACTGTTTTCGAAGATTAAGAAAATATTTCTTCAATAATATATTTATTAATTAGTATCACTTAAATACTTAACTTAGAACTGTATTTTAACTTTTTTAATAAGGATATTTTAGTAAAAGAAAATTATTTTAGGTCTCAAATTTTAGATAAGTTTATTTTTTATCTCTTAAATTTTAGTTTAAATTTTTTAGTCTATGTAATTTAAAAAGATTGATTTTGTCCTTTATAATCACCAACCGCATAACTGACAAAAAACAAATCAAGTTATGCAATATTAACAAGATTTGATGTGATATTTTCATTAAAAATTATGTTATGAATGTGAATTTTATGTGATAGATTCAGCAACCACAATTAGGTAGAGGAATTGAAGTAAATTTATTTTCCAATTACATGGTGTAAAAGTATTAATTTTAAGTTAACAGAACATAATCAAATTTACTTTTCATATTGAATGAAATAAAAATATATTTAAGTCTAAAGATATATTTGACAAGATATTTAATAAACTTATAAACTCATTTAACCAGCTTATATGTTTGTTTTGTACGAAAGTTTATATATGAACTTATTTTAGGAGCTTATAGCTTATTTTATAAGTTAATTGAAGTAGTTTATAACTTATAAATTTTTAGGATTTTTTTTCTTTCTCCTTTTTATCCTTATTAATTTGCTTTTAAATCCTTTTTATCTATTTAAATTTAGAAACTATTTTTTCTATATTTGTGGTTCTTTCACTCTCATCATAAAAATTATTTTATATCATCATTTTATATTTATCAGTTAGCTTATAAGATAATAGTTTTATGAAATACTTTTAATTTATATAAAAAAATACTTTTAATTCAACAAGCTAATTTATAAGATTTTAACCTTTTCTAGCTTCCAACTTTTAACTGTTTTCAGCTAACTTATAAATAGGATTGGTCTAATATATTATTAAGTCTAAAACAAATCTTAAAGTGAAACTTTTTTAAAATTAATAATAACATCTTTTAATAAAAATAAATTGTAGAGATGAAACTTAAAAAATAATTATATTTGTATATCTTTTATAGATAAACTTTTTAAAGTAAATTTTTAATAATGTAAAAAATAACTTTTAAATAATACAACTTTAAAAAAATTATATCAATATTTATATAATATTTTTAAGGGAATCTAAAGCAAGAACTTCATTAAACTTATTCTTGTGCCAATCCTGCTTATAAACTAATTTTACAAAACACAGCTCATTACATGCTAGATTTCTTTAATTTGGGTTGAATGTGATTTTCTCCCCTAAATTTGGTTGAGCTAAACGTTTATCAAATTTCAAATTAAACCAATTTACTCTCTTTCTTAACTTTCTATTACTTAAAATTTGGTTGATAAGTTTTTTTAAGACATGCAGTTTACCTCGGAAGACAAATAACATGGGATAAAATGATTTATAATTTGCTTAACACAATGAATAAAGAATAAGAAAGATAAAAGAATCCAAATAATTTATGATGAATGAGTGGGAAACTAAGATATGACAATAGAAAAGTTTACAAAAGCTCCAAACAAGAGAATGGCAAGGCCCGTGAAGTTGACCAAATAAGACTCTCTCTGATATGGCTTCAGTTGTAAGAAACTGTGCTTCTCCATAAGTCCTGTTTCTGCAGCACATACTGCCAAGAACAACAGTGCTCTTCCAAAAACTTTGTGCCATGGTAGCACTTTTGCCCTTGTAGCAGGTGAAGCTCCTTGAAGCATGAACACACCAAAACCAAAGAGCCACTGCAATCAACAATCCATCATCAAAAGTGCAGGTAATCACTAATCAGGCTAGTCCTTAAAGGCAATAGTATACATATAGGGCTAAAGCACATGTGAGAACCTCATTAACTATTTTTAATAAAAAAAAAATTTCTTTCAATCATAAAACTTTATTTAAGAAATCAAGTCTAATTTTATAAAGACTAGCCAGTTGTTATATAGAATGGTTCATATATGAGTTTTGAACCACTAGCTAAAAATTTGGCCTGAGAAAGGTCAAATTTGTTTTTAACACTTATATGTATATATTTTAACATCATAAATAATTTATTATTATTTATATTTTTAATTTTTCTTTTTTAATGATATATTTATTTATCTCTTTTTTAACATCAGATATATATATATATATATATTTTTTTTTCTCTTTATTTTATCTTAAATATAAACTAAACATAATATAAGTTTCATTTATCAATAAATTTTAAGGAAAAAATATTTTTAATTTAAGTTTGATACATCTTAAAAAATGGGGACATGCTGGGCTCCTCCCCTGATCATGATCATGATCCATTGAGTAGGTAAATTATTTTAATACTTGTAAAATATATTTTACATTGCCATATCTAACGATTATTGGTACTAAAATAATCTTTCACCCAACTTTTTCTAGTTTTTCTTTTCTTTAAAATGAGAATGCCCACTGGCATTAAATTAAGAAATTATAATAATTCATGTATAATACTAATGTAATCAATTGAGTTGTAGTTAATAATTATATTTAATGTTTTTCTCATGAGCATAATTTGAGTGACGTTTCAAAAAAACTGATGAATAAAAATTAATTAATTAACATTATTTATAGAAGGTGATTTCAGTGATTAAATATAATTTTAACACTGATATAAATTAAAAGAATGTATAGATGATACCTGCAATCCAAAGAAGCAGAAGGTGGCAATGCCAATCCATGAATGGAGGGTGTAAAGGTGGGGAATGTGAGACATATCATGGAACTTGAAAACGGCACACAAACCAACAACACCAAGAATTATAGCAATCAAATGCAATGCCATGTGAACAAACTTCCTCACTCTCCTTTCGCTTGGTATCGTTTGGAATGCCATCATACCTGTTTCATTTTAAATAACAACAATGAATAATTTTATTAATTTGCATTTAAATAGAAAGGGAACAATCTAGTTAATTTATTAGCAGATACCTTCACCAGCAAGGAAAATGAACCCCGAGTACATTAATAATGGATGAACCTGCATGCACGTGAATTTAACATTATATGCTTTTGTTTTATATGTATCAGGTGAGCGAGGTACACAAATTTTGTGTAATGGGGACAAGACAAGATAATTAACACCTCACACTTCATATGAGAAAAACAAAATTGCTTTAATTTAATATTAGGTTAAATATGTTTAAAGTATTCAAATTTAAGATAAATTTATTTTTGTTCTTCAAATTTAAAATTATTATTTTTAGTCCCTTTTAATTTTTAAAAATCTTGTTTTAGTCCCTTAGATCACTAATAACATATTTAAAAACGATTAATTAAGACAATCACCAATATTAACCGAATTGAATATGTGATATTTTCACTAATAGGAATACTAATAAGTAGATTTTATGCAATAATATTTAATAAAATTCTTAACAAAATTTGAATATAAAGATTAAAATAAGATTTTTTGAAATTACAAGGACTAAAATAAATTTTTTTGCAATTACAAAGACAAAATATATTTATCCTAAATTTAAGGGACTAAAAATATATTTAAACCTTTAATATTTTTTAAAAGGAGCTATTAAAATTGAATATAGAGATAGCTAGGGATAAAAGACAATAAATAGAAAGAAATAAATAGTTAGTAAAATCAAGAATATTGATAAAGATAAAGGAGAATAGTTTGAACCGAGAGAAATTTTTTTTTTAGAAGAGTAATGTGTAAAATTCACTTATAAAGAGAAAAAAGTACAATATTAAAAATGCTAATTGAGAAAATTGAAAAAATATTTTGTAGTTAAAAATAAAAATAAAACTTAGTAAATGACTTAAAAAAAGTGAACAACTCTTAAATCATTAATTTTTACATTTATCATTGGTATATCATCACAATTATTATTATTCAAATAGATGTCGTTTTCATAAGTGATAAGAAAAGTGATGATAACTGCAATGGTCCACAGTGATTGTGATGTTATAATAGAAACAATAACAATAATTATGTAAGTATTATTTATAATAAAAAAAAAGGGGAAAGAGGAAAGGATTAATATTACATTGAAGACACGAAATCCGTTGTCTGAATCATATTCAATTCCTTCGCGGTAATGCAACAACCAAACAAGCAAGAGGATGAAGGCTAAGACACCAAACAAGTGTGCCAAACCTGAGATACCTAATGAACCCATCGTGGAATGCAAGAGAAACTAGCAAGTGATCATGTATTAATAGTGTTGCTCTTGTGTGGTTTAGAGGAAATTAACGAGGATAAAATATTAGAGAGGAAGCATTACTTGTTTTCTTAGTTTTCGAAAAGAAACTTAGGAATTCAGCAAGCATAACCTTAGTCGTTAAAAATAAGCCAATTAATTGATTTTACTTGTACACAACATGTTTAGGCATATATTCTTAGTGTTATTATGGTAAGTACACACCGAATCCAATTCACTCAATTATGGATTTCAATTCAACAATGGGATTCGCGTTTTTTAATTTATGTGCGTTTTAAGATTGAGTTGTCATGAAACTTATTAAAACTGGAATAAAAAGAAAGGAATAGAATCATGAACTTCGTTGATGCTATATGTTCCATACAACATTCCAAACAACTTTTACATTTACGAAATGCATATGATCCTATGAAAGCAAAGAAAAGAATGAGGGGATGCAACTTCAACCAGCAAATTAAAGTTATTCTTGGTGAATTTGCATTTTCTGTTCTATGGTAATTTATTTCTTTTTTTTTTTTAAGATATTATTTTTCAATCTAACTCAGACAAGAAACAAATAATTAAGTTTTACCAGTCCTTAAGTTACTATTATAGGAATTATGTAAAATTTTATAACAATAAAAAAATTATTTTGAACTACATTTTGAGATAAAAAAAATAACAAAAAATGGATAAAATATATGAAAATAATAACTATTTAATTATTTTACAGCCTTTTAATAATCTAAATATTTTTAAATAAAAAATGTATATTTTGAAAATGAATAATTATTGAAGTAGCTTTTAGTAAATATCTTAATTGAAGTAGTTAAAAAGAAATATTCTAAATATCTTAAAACATTATTGAAGTAGCTTTTATCACTAGTGCAAAAGAGGTATTTTACGTATGTTATTTTGAGGATTTTACGTCAGAAAAAAGTCCAATGTGAATGCGGGAAACGTAAATCTACATCGAGTTTAAAAGCTGGCATAATATTACGTCAAAGAGTTTTGAACACCGAGTAAAAGCAAGAAAAATAACACCAAAATATTTACGTCAGACTGTAACATATCCGACATAAATTTACGTCAGACATGGTATAGTCCGACGTAAATTTATGCGCTTTTTTTTAGATTTGTTTTACTTTTTAATACACCCAAAACCTGCATACAGTCTAGAATACAAAATCAAGTAGTACACCTAACCCAAGCAGTCCATAATACAAATTCAAATATAATTCATATTTCAAAATTGAATCACAAAGAAAATAATATATAAATGTTAAAAAGCATGAATTAAGACAATAATGTAAATCCTATTATCGTAAAAAAGCTATAGAATCTAAGTTTGTGAATGCTATGAAACTATAGTTTGAAGTAACTAATTAAACTTAGAAATGTAACTATCATATAGTTTGAAGTAAAAAAGTTGTCCATTGTTCTCTTATCTTTGTGATTTCATCTTCGGGCAATGGAGATTGATCTTGAAAGACCTGAAACATTAATTTAAGTGTCATTAATATGCAATGTTAATTATCATAAAGGTAAATATATTTAAATAAATTTTGATATGAATTACCTACTCCCAAGAATCAGTAATACCCGTAGAAACTATGGCTCTCATCCAATACATGATGTAATAGCCACATTCAAACAAGTCTTGTTGCTTATTACACTAAAATGAGAAACAAATAACAATATTATTTCCAAAGTTGATAAAGTCAAATATTATTGCCTCTATTAAATAATTTGCTAACCTTAGGGTATATGAAGTACGATGTCTTTGATCTGGCTCTTCCACTTAAAATATTAGTTTCAGACACGATTCTAATTTATTAAAATAAAAACATATGTTAGCCAATATATATAGTTACAGTTTTAAAACATAAAGAAAAATTATATTTACCCTTTTAATTGACTTTTCATTTCATGGCTTGGTTTTCAATGTAGTGAACAAAACCACACCACAGTGTAATCCTTAGGAATGATTACAATTAACTGCCAATGGGACCTACATTGTATGACAAAAAAATTATTTATAAAATTACCATGATTAAAAAATAAATTAAAAAACTAACGCTTCAATGTATGGAGCCAAGTATATATGTCTTCCTGATTCACTCATCCATGTTTGCATATATTGCTGGATATGGACCTTCGTGTTTCCTGATTTTTGGATGGATTGAGGCTCAATAAATCCATATACTTGTGCTTGTGCTTGTGCTTGCTCCACACTCAATTTGTTCATGTACCTAACACAATTAATTATTATAATTTAAATGTAATTATTGTAATTTTAGACTCATAAAAGAAAATATCACTTACATGGCCCACAACTATATGATAGATATATTTAACATGGAGTTTCCCCCAACAATCTCTAATTAATGCGTCGGACAAGGATATGTATAGTGGAATATTAGAGCTGTCAACTCCAAAAACTCTAACGTCCTACTGCAATTAAATTGGTTTCTTCTTCAATCGCGGTAATATGGTTAGAAGCCTAAATATGGGATCATCCTCAGCTTCTGCAATATCAGTATCATGAATAACAGGTTCTCTCATTACCTCCTTACCACGATTGATAAAATCCTAAACAAATGATAAAAATTAAAACAATAATAGAATTATAAGAATATTAAAGACCAATAATATAATTACCTTTGTCCGTGCTGAAAGAGGCATCACCAAATGTTTTGGCCAAGCTAAGAATGTGCCGATTGCTTGCCCCACTAGTTGAACCTCTGTATTGGGCAAAGGCACTGGAGCATCAACATCTTGAACATGGTCAACCACAGCCTGTGTCCAGTCTGGCTGTAGAGGGACACCATGGGTGGTGGAGCCACCCTCAAATACTTGACCAATAGCCACTATCCCTGGGAGGTCATCCTCAACATATAACTCACACTGGTTTGGTACATCAGTGAGAGTATGTTCCCTTGAGGGATCTGGAGCAGCACAATTCCCTTTAGTGCTCACTCGAACACCATCATTAGCAACTGCGGGCTGTTATTGAGAACGAGCCAAAATCTCAAACTTCTCTTTAAACTCTTATCGCATGTTATTCAATTTTTCTTGAAATTGCATCTCCATTCTCTGCATAGCCTCCTGACTACAAGAGTAAACAGTACTGTTCCTCGATGGTGGTGTACCAAAGTAATCTCGTAGACTCCAAGAACCACCAATACCACACACACGCCCTAGGTGCTTTGGCCTTCCTATGGCCGTTGTGAGTATATCATCCCGACCATGGGTGACCTGCTTAACTAAACCCTCTTGCAACATATTAACAATAAGTAAGTATACCCTAAACTACACTTATGAATTGAATGAGTTGAAATTAAAAGTGTTAATATGTATATTTTTTACTTACTATTTTATCAACAATGACCTTGCAGACTTAGAAGTCATTTGCCCATCTAATTTTGTTCGAGCTGCTATCCACAACTCATAGCGGGGAGGTGGATCCAGAAGGTTGGCAGATTCAACCCCTGATGCCTCTGCCCTAACCTTCATGAGTTTCTTCTTTTTTAATTCATATCCCCCTCGTGACAATAGATAGGGTGCATCATTCTTGCTCTGTCATTCTTGGTCAACTTGTCTTTTGGCCTGTAATAATGAAAATAAGAAAATGAGATTAAAATATACCTTAATTATTTGTGTTAATGTAAGAATTATCAATAACTAACCTGCTAAGAAGGGTCCAATCGAGTAGCACGAAATTGCATCCATTCCTCGTCAGTAATCTGGTACTTTAGACAGGGAGTCTCATTTTGTCGCTTTCCAAAGACATACTCTCGTGTCAAGAAAGTCTTGAAGTCTCTCCACTTGGTGGCAAGGACAGATAACATCTTCTTCCTCATGATCTCAGTGTTGGGAATGTCAAAATTTTGCTATCAAAATAACAACAAATAATAAATAACGTAATTAAGTTATATAATATTGAAGGGATGTGCAAGTATATACCTGAATATCCTGTCACATGAGGTTCTTGTCAGCCTCCTCAATGTCATCCCATGATAGAATAATAATAGAAACATGACGTCGAGCTATGACTCCCAAATAGCTCCTAAATTTTGCAACATTTGGGCCTGACGCCTTGCCAGAACGTGGATCCACCTCAACTTGTTTCCTCACCTTGGCAATGCATCTCGCTGTCAACCTAAACAATCGGGTTACAGATCTACCTTCCCTCCTGACAGTGTCAGACCCCGAATCTGTCATATCCCTGAAAAAATGTGATACATTTTTTTCAACGCATTTTTGTTATTAAATAAATTTCATTTATTTCATTGAAAAGAAAATATGATTCATTAATTTTAATTGGATATGTGTTTTATTTAAAAACAAATTGGTTCCTACACTTGAAATTATTTTATACTTTATTTCATACTTGTAAAAAAACTATTTTATTCCTTACGGGAGAAACTTTTCTAAAATGGTGCTTGAAATTTAATAAAACTATAACAATATTAAATTTAATTCATACGCTTGAAATTATTTTTTTATTTTAGTCTTTACAAGAAAAAAGGCATTTCATGTAGTCTTTACCTAAAAAAGTTTCTACATTTTAGCCCCACACTTAAAACATTATTTTTATTTTGTTTATAAAAAGATTATTGAATTAAAGTTATATTACTTATATTTCTCTACACTTTTTTTAATAAAAAACACAGAGCTATTTTTTTAAAATAAATAAATAAATTTCCTAATTAAACACTTTTCAATTTTTTTTCCGGTTCATCTCTCTAATAATAAAATTACTCACACCTCATTTTTATTCTTCTTTATACCTTATTTTCGTATTCTCATTTTTTATTTATTTTTTAAATCCTTTATTTTTCCTTCCTTCTTTATCATCCTTCAAATCCTTTACATTTATTTTTTCTTTTGTGTGAGACTAGTAATTTCAATGTTAAGTGGATTTTTTTTTGGGTGAACTAGCAACAAACATTACAACTTAGCAATATATGTTTATAGATCAAAATATTTTTGGATAACATATATAACATGTAAAGTTCAACAAGAGTAGTAGAAA